TGTTTGGGATTCCGACACTTTTGTTTACATATTTTTTTATTCTTTTTTATAAAATGTATATTAAATGTATATGTACTTGGTTATCACCATGAATATAAAAAAAATAAGCACTATAAAAAATCGTGGACTGGAAAATTATGGAAGATAATCACTGCCAAATTTCTAAGATTACAGACTGTAAATTTTACAGTTTGCAATTGCTATGCCATACTGCATTCTGACATTGTAAAATTGTATTCTTTATCTATTTCATGGAATAGTATATTTTCTTCCTACTCATTTATATAGTGAAGTCTTCTCACTGCTTATGAATTGATACTGTCTGATGTCCACTTACGATCTTAAGATTGTAGACATATATTTGCTTGGTTTTAATCCGTGTAACCGTTTGGCGCCAAAGGCTATCTCAGCCCCAACTGCCGCATCGACATCAAGCACGATCTGATCTTTCCCGGTATAGAACTTATTCGTAAGAATGGCAAGACAACTGGTCAGATCCATCTTATGGAGACCCGTTTACCCGGAGTTGAGTTTCGAGCTCTGACACTCTTCTTTGTAAAATGTTATTTTTCTGCCTCAAGTGTCTCAACTTTAGAGATGATTTGTTACAAGTTGTTTTTCAGTCTAACATGCCTCAATTTTAGACTTAATATGTGACAATTTATTTGTAAGCCTCAAGTGCGTATTTAGAGTTAATTTGTGACAAGGTATCTTTTCAGCTTCAGGAGCCTCAACTTTAGTTATTTTTGACAAGTTATTTTTCAGCCCCAAAGGCCTCAGCTGTAGAGTTAATTTATGACAAGGTACCGTTAATTAATTCATTGTTGAGAGTTTGGACTGAAAATTGCCTATATGAAGCGAGTTTGTTTCCATGAGGTCATCATCAAAGGGACATATCTACGGTGGCATAGAGGTGACATTTGCAGTCTTATTTTATCTCGTGGCCACGACTTATCATCTTGAGGCCTCAAGATATTATCTCGTGGTCACGACTTATTATCTCGTGGCCACGACTTATTATCTTGTGGCCTCAAGATATTATCTCGTGGCCACGACTTATTATCTCGTGGCCACGAGTTATTATCTTGTGGCCTCAAGATATTATCTCGTGGCCACGAGTTATTATCTTGTGGCCACGAGTTATTATCTCGTGGCCACGAGTTATTATCTTGTGGCCTCAAGATATTATCTTGTGGCCACGACTTATTATCTCGTGGCCACGAGTTATTATCTTGTGGCCTCAAGATATTATTTTGTGGCCTCAAGATATTATCTCGTGGCCACGAGTTATTATCTTGTGGCCACGACTTATTATATTGAGGCCACGAGTTATTATCTTGTGGCCACGACTTATTTCAGCCAATGAAAATGGTCGTTTCATCTTGAACAAAAGTTAATATCAATAAGACCTTATATCACACTGGCCACAGCTTTCACAAGAGCGGCGGGGGAAGAAAGGGAACGTTTTATAATTATTATTCTTCTTGTTTTGTATGGTCAGGTGTTACTTTCATTCTTCTTTAAAGATATACTTTGCTTAAATTTAATATTAGAAAATATTGATAATTGTTACATTGTCCCTTTGTACATGTAAACATAAAATGAACATGTTTTGACTTCAAAGATAGTAGATATGTTATGTTTAAAATTCTACACAGTATAGGTGTTCACCATGAATATATATATATTGTCAGTTTTTATAAGTAAAGATTACCTGACCTGTTATAAGGAACGCAGCTTCCGTTACATAGTTTATTGATTTCTTTATTCAAGTTAGACGCATTAAGTTAGAATACCATAGATTAAAAAAAAATCTGTGATTTTAATTTTCAAGGATGAGCACGGTATATCTAATTTAATTGAGATTTAATTAAGAAATATATGCGGTTGATGTATACTTTTAAGGTCGTTCATGGAAATAACTTGCCCCTTTTCCCTGTGGATTCGAATCCCATTAAAGACTTGTATCTAGATAGTTATTATTGAGATATACTACAATATCACAATGATAAATGAGTATCTTTGACGGGTTATCTGAATCTTTTTCTTTATTATAAAAACTGACATACTAGTATACAAGTTTCAAAGACATATGTCAATTCTTTTAAGATCTCCTCTTTGATTGGTACTGCTTATGCTGTGCTATTGCTACTGCCAATTTCACGTTTTATAATTTTGTCACTGCTACTTCTGTGCTACTGCTACTGCTAACTTCATGTTTTATAATTTTGTTACTGCTATTGCTCAATGCTACTACTAACTACCTACTGGTGATGACAACTTATAAAAGTGAGTGTATTTTATGAAAAACTGCATCTATAGAAACTTGATCCTTAAACGTTAGGACCATAAGATAAGAATACAGAGGGCCAATTAGTGATGACAAGACTCTACTCAGTGGACGTGTTAATGTGGTCAATACAGTTTATAGTGATATACTAACTGATAAGCCTTACTGAAATTCAGCACGTCTCTGGGAAAATGCGTGAACTTAAGTAAATATATGGTGGTGATTGACACGCCCCTCCTGTGACTGTTATTGCCAGTGTGATATTAAATTTTGTTCAAGATGAAACGACCATTTTCATTGGCTAAAATAAGTCGTGGCATCAAGATAATAACTCGTGGCCACGAGAAAATAAGTCGTGGCCTCAATATAATAAGTCGTGGCCACAAGATAATAACTCGTGGCCACGAGATAATATCTGGAGGCCACAAGATAATATCTTGAGGCCACAAGATAATAACTCGTGGCCACGAGATAATAAGTCGTGGCCACGAGATAACATCTTGAGGCCACAAGATAATAACTCGTGGCCACGAGATAATAAGTCGTGGCCACGACATAATATCTTGAGGCCACGAGATAATAAGTCGTGGCCACAAGATAATAACTCGTGGCCACGAGATAATATCTTGAGGCCACAAGATAATAAGTCGTGGCCACGAGATAATAAGTCGTGGCCACGAGATAATATCTCGTGGCCTCAATATAATAAGTCGTGGCCACAAGATAATAACTCGTGGCCACGAGATAATATCTTGAGGCCACAAGATAATATCTTGAGGCCACAAGATAATAACTCGTGGCCACGAGATAATAAGTCGTGGCCACGAGATAACATCTTGAGGCCACAAGATAATAACTCGTGGCCACGAGATAATAAGTCGTGGCCACGACATAATATCTTGAGGCCACGAGATAATAAGTCGTGGCCACAAGATAATAACTCGTGGCCACGAGATAATATCTTGAGGCCACAAGATAATAAGTCGTGGCCACGAGATAATAAGTCGTGGCCACGAGATAATATCTTGAGGCCTCAAGATAATAAGTCGTGGCCACGAGATAAAATTAAACTGCAAATGTCACCTCTATGCCACCGTACATATCTATATCACAATGTACTATACATTTTGGACTCACTCTTAAATAATTGTGAGTATATTTGAATTTATTTATCTGTCAATTTTGAATGCATTATACCACTCATTCTAATATAAGATCCGACTTCGGTTCTATCAGTGTAATTGACGACACCTGAGATTGAGTATATAACTCGTGTATTGAAAAGTCATACGAATCAAAGTTAGCTGGCTTGCTGGAATTGACATAAGTAAATCATGGAGTTTGAGCGTTTTTGGTTTTTAACCTTTCCTTTAATGTGTATTGGAATTGTTTGGCATTGTTCTCTCTTCAAAGTTAAAGGGTTGTAACAGACATTTTGAAAAAGGTTTATACATGTAACTGTTATTTTAATTCCTAAATATACTAGATAACTAATATTTATATTGTAGATCTTGCGTTATTCTTCTAGTGTATAAAATTGGCTATTGTCCTCTAAGATATCATAAATACAGTGAATTCCTTTTTCAAACCAAGATTTCTATAACTTTTAGTTATGATAGTATAATCAAGGTTAGTTACACATTTTTGCACTGTTTCTGGTGCTCAGTAGACAATGAAATAACATTTAAAGTATGTTTCCAGAATTCATTTTTTGATAGATATTGACATTTTCTCGACATAATGCGTGTCACCCAAGACTACTACTTTATGTAAATCAATACATTGTGTTATAAAACTTATTCAACGTCCATCTCTTTTAATGCTTGTTCTTATCCATGTAAGTTTTAACGCATTCATTAAAACATTAAATAATATGAGCCGTGTCATGACAAAACCAACATAATGGTTTTGCGACCAGCATGGATCCAGACCAAAAACACACAGACGTGTGCTTAAGAGTGGTAAACATATTATTTGAGCCGCGTCACGACAAAACCAACATAATGGTTTTGCGACCAGCATGGATCCAGACCAGCCTGCGCATCCGCGCAGTCTGATCAGGATCCATGCTGTTCGCTATCAGTTTCTTTACGTGTTATAGGGTATGTAAGCGAACAGTATGGATCCATATCAGACTGCGCAGATGCGCAGGCTGGTCTGGATCCATGCTGGTCGCAAACCCACTATGTTGGTTTTGTCGTGACGCGGCTCAAATAATATGTTTACCACTCCTGTGTAATCCTTAACTTACACATTTTTACAAATTTTTGAAGTTCAAATCCAAAAAAGGCATATGATGTATCAATAATTCGTTGTATATTTTTATCCGAAGGATTAGGCAATATCGTGAATAAATGCTTTAGTCGTGAGATAAGTATTGTTTTTATAACTGTCATTTTACGTATTGGAGTTAAGACCCTTCTTTTTCATTGTTCTTTTTTTTTTAAATATGTCTTCTATAAAATTAAGATTTTACATTTTTTCAAGATCCACATGGAATGTTATACACTAGGTTTGGTCCAATTCAGTTTTCATCTCGTATATGCTGTCATGCTATACTTTTTAATGGCTATCCAAACAACTTTTGTCTATTCAAAGTTGATCCTGGCCCCGAGATCAGCGCAAATCTTATCAATATTGCATACATTTTTATGTAATATTTTTCTTTTTAATTAGTTAGAAGTTAAAAGAACACAACAACTGCGAAAAATTTTATTGAGAAAAAAAAAACTCAAAAAAGTATCAACGTGCCTATATTTTGCAATTGTGCACATCTATTTTCCGTCATTTTTTTGTAGATTTTTAAAATAAAAACAACAAAAATGGGAATTCAAGTAATTATGATCTTCACATTTTTAAAGCAGTTCATAGATTGTATTGTGTTTAGAAAACATTTAATGTCGGATTATCCACAAAATAACAGATCACAAGTCTCTCTACATGTGCTTCGGTACTTTTGATTTAATATAAAAACTTTATATTGTCTTTAATTCTTTGGTTTACTTCGGATACAGTTGTCTTTTGGCATTTCTACTGACCACTTGGTCACTTTTCCTGAAAAGAAATTATATAAAAGCAATTTCAAAAGTAATAAAAACAACTTTGAAATATTAATGTTTAAAATTCGCTATGAAAAACATTGAATTATTCATAAAAGGTATTTCATTAACAAATCGAGGGTTCAAAGGTAAAAGGTAATAACTGCCATTTTCAAGATTTCGAGAAAAACGCAAAAAACATATTTTTTTAATACAACTTTATTTTCCGTAATATTGTTATAACAATTTTGATTCTCCCATATTTGTTGACTACATTAGATCATATTTTGTTTAGTTTACATTGCTTGGTGCTGATAAAACACTGTAATTATAGTTTGTTTTAAAGTTCTAAGATCAAAATAATATCATTTTACAGAAGTAAAAGGTAATAAATGTACTTAGATCCTGTCAAGACTACAAGTTTGAGCGGTAAAAGGTAATAACTGCACTTACGACCTTTTACTTCTGAAGGTTTAGCAATAAAAGTTAGATATAAACTGTGGTAAAAGGTTATAAGTGCAGTTATAGCCTTGTTCCTCTGAAAAATTTAGATGTTGCAGTAATTGTTACTGTTGCAAATTTATCAATTATGTCCTTACTTTGAAGAACCTTACGTAATGTAATTAACACAATGCACATTAATATTCGTACACAAAATTAACACTTTTCATTCATAGAAATATGAAATATGTACCTGCTCAATATTTTGATTCTACAGAAATAAATTAATAACTAAAAAGTTTACGAAAATACGCACTAAAATCTAAGTTTACAAATTTCATTTATTTTGAATGTTCTCTGGTATATAATCGAACTGAAGTCAAACAGACCCCAGACATCAGCAATTAAGGATATTAGTGACCCATATCATAGTTAAGTAAATAAAGACTACTGTTTCATGTCACAAAATGTGAATGTTTGTCATTAATTATTCTATGACCTCCACTCATCTTCTTCACTCTCACTAACAGAGCGGGGCGTCCGTGGCCGAGTGGTTAAGGTCGTTGACTTCAAACCACTTGCCCCTCACCGCTGTGGGTTCGAGTCCCGACAGGGACTTTGGATTCTTTCATGTGAGGAAGCTATCCAGCTAGCTTACGGAACGTCGGTGGTTCTACTCAGGTGCCCGTTCGTGCCTGAAATAATGCACGGAAGGGCACCTGAGGTCTTCCTCCACCAGTAAAGCTGGAGCGTCGCGATATGACCTATACTGTGTCGATGTGACGTAAAACCCAAAACAAAACAAACAAACTCACTAACAGAAGGCACTTAAAGTTTGTCTTTTATAGATTTGCTGCATGGCAATGACTCATAGTATGATTCGCACTCCTTCGGAATTGTTCCAGAGGCAACAAGTGACATCAAATCAGCTTTTGCAGCAGATATTGGAAGCTTCTCTGTATAAGCCTTTCGTGGAGCCCTAAGAGACTTTTCTTTGCTTCTGTTCTTCTTCTGCATTAACCTAACTGCATTGAACTCACTAACCACAAAACCATAGCTCACAACAATACTGTATTTTTGTCTTTATCTATCTCCAGTCATTATATCATTTGATAACGTCACATGTTTAGCAGCAAAACAAAACTACATATAGATGTTATTTTATCGGGGAAAAAGAAGAATGAAACCATTTAATTATTCTAAAAACATTATTAAAAGCAGGATAAAACAAATACATGGTTGATGTCGGGCTGGAGAAGGTTTATCCGGTTCACTGCGAAAGTGAATCTTGGCTTGCTAAAGCTCGCCAAGATACACTTTCTAGCTCACCGGATAAGCCTTATCCATCCCTAAATCAACCATGTATTTTATATATACTCTGCCAATTAACACGTTCATCATCAACATCGATTTTCATTGAGCCAAAGTTTTGTTTTTTGTACAACTTGTAATCTAGTATGTCATTGTATTTTATTAGAACGACAATATATGGTTGCTTCCGGCGTGCTTATGATATAACTGTTTCCCACTGCGATGAAACATGAACTATTGTAAGGCTTTTTGCATGCTTGATAGATGCATGTATGGACTTTGCATTCCATTAATGAATGGCCAATTTCAAGAAATGTGTGGTTTTACCATTGATGTGAGGTATATCTTGGACACAGTGAACTAAGCAACTTGCAACAAACTGATTGCAATTCTGTCCTCCACATGCATTACTATATAATGTCACTTCTTCAATACCAGATGTCTTACTTGCAACAGAGGTTACATACAAGTACACAAAAGTTCCTACTTTGCACGAGCCTGGTTTCCCCATGTGTCTCATCCAACAGATAACAAGTCCCGTTACCATTTCCCAGTTCATAGAATGACAAATTGCAACAACACAGTTTTCTTTTGTAACGAAGATCACCAATTAAACTGAGTGGTGTTTTCAAAATAGCCTGGATATCAAATGCCGACACAGAAAACTTTGGATCTTTCTTTGTGCGTTTTTTATCGGCTGATTTTTGCATTCTTGCACTGTTTTTTTTCTTTTTGGTCACTTGGTGAACTTGATATTTTGCTTTTGTTGCCTCATCTAGTCTATCTTCTATTCTCAAAGTGTCATACAGATTGCAGAGTGGACATTGATCTTTCTTAGGACGGAAGAAAAAACTTTGTGCTTAACTGCGTTTGCAACTGTTTTGGAACCGACATCGATAGTTTTTAGTAAAAAATTCTGGAAACAAAGTGATCCCTCGGAAGCATTAATCACAAAAAAATTACATAAAAATTGCAGACTCGGTTTGATTGAGTCTGTACATGAGAGATAATGAATAAGTGCAACATCCCTCACGCCCTCTTTTCTACCTGTGTGAAAAACGAATTCGAAATAGGTCTTTGTTTTGTTCTGTGTTTAGATACATTCTCTGGTTCTTTATTGGCAACATGGAAACAAATGAATTGCCTCTGACTTATGTAATCACCCATTGACCAGTATGTACTGAATATTTTCTGTCTTTCATATTCGGTTATATTCTCGCTGCATTTAATTCTAAAAGATAAATTTCGTGGGAAAAGAGATAACAGATAGTGCCTTGTGAACTGTATGAATGCAGCATTCTGTCAGGGGAAAAAGGTGATAAATCAGTTATAACCTTTTTCCACTACAGATTCTTCACAACATGTGGAACAACAAGTAAACAACAGGTAATAAGTACACTTAGAACCTTTTACCCCTAAATAATTTGTAGAAAAGAAGTTATTACAAAATACTTTTTAATTTTTTGCCCTTATAAGGATTGAATATTTATATAATATTTTCGTCAGACATAAAGGACAATAAGTACATTATAAAAAAACATAAAAAGTCAATTTCGGCAAAAGTGGCAGTTATAACCTTTTACCTTTGAACCCTCGAAATGGTCGTGTCTACCTTCGAAAATCATCGTGTTCTCCTATATTAATACATATCATAATGCAGGCGTCACACTGTCCCGAAATTGACACCAGATGGGCATACGAATTTGAAATTTTTAATTTCGTGCGAAAATAGCCCCGAAATTGGTCGACAGTCTCTCAACAGCCGAAACAAGTACGATTCCTACAGAAGGTCACGCGATCGCATCCGAGCCACACACGATTCCAACCGAAGGTCACGCGATCGCATCCGATACACACACGAAGTCATCTCAAAGATGCATTTTTGTACCAGTATATTACCAGTAGGACACGCGAAGGTCACAGGATAGGTACCCGACGTCGTATTTTGAGTACGATGCCTTCGTACGTGGTTACGAAGGCGTCAAGTGACCTTCACCTCCGGGTGGTATACAACCCACGACCAACCGCGGCAAATTTCAGTTGCAGATAGTATTGGGAGCTAATTAACCTACGTTTTAACTTTATTTTGGTTCTTCATATTACTATAAAAAAAAACAACAATTCTATTCACACAAAAATCTATGATAAAAGTGATGACTTTGATTATGGTTTAGTAAACTATCCACATTTAGATGGAGACGTACCGCATGCAACATCTGACGGGGTATATGTATCTCAGTCAATTAGATTCGCTAGAGCTTTTAGCAACGTGAAGGTTTTTAACAAGCTAAATATTTTCATTACTAGCAAGCTACTCAAACAGGGCTACCGCTATAATAAATTATGTAGATATTTTACAAAATTTAACAATCGTAACTTTGATTTAATCTCAAAATTCAGTAGTGATTCAAAAAAGATTTTAATGGAGATGTTATTTACAAACTTCGCAAGATCTTTGGTCATTGTTGCCTTTACTAAAATTATTCAACGTTTAACCAAAAGAGGTTTTGACTATACTTTTTTAGATATACCGCATGCTTAGTGTTCAACACTTTAACTATTGGTCCTTTCCTCTTTTGATTACATCTGACGGACCAAGTAGGATACTCTATGATTGACAGTTCTTATTCCCTTTGGGACTGAATTGCCTCAATGTTCGTCTTCTGCCTTACTTCGTCGGGCCTTTGTAAGTGATTTTTGTGTCGCCTCTACGGAGTAGTGGCGACATATAGGGATCACTTCTCCGTCGTCTGTCTGTCTGTCTGTCTGTCCGTCTGTCCGTCACAAAACTTGTCCGGACTACTCCTCATAAACTACTGGTGCAATTTCATCCAAACTTTACAGGAATGATCAGTACCAAGTCTAGTTGTGCATATTGTCAGCATTTTCCGGTTCAATGATTTTTGTCAGAGTTATGGCCCTTTAATAATTTTTATTTTTAAAGTTTGTCCGGACTACTTCTCTTATACCACTAATGCAATTTCAATGAAACTTTACAGGATTGATCTGTAGCTCAAGTCCTTGCGCATATTGCACGGGTTTTTCGGTTGAATGATTTTTGGCCGAGTTATGGCCCTTTGATAAAAAAGGTGTTTTTTTCTGTGTGTTGCCAGATACACAAAAGCTTGTCCGGACTACTCCTCATAAACTACTGGTGCAATTTCATCCAAACTTTACAGGAATGATCAGTACCAAGTCTAGTTGTGCATATTGTCAGAATTTTCCGGTTCAATGATTTTTGTCAGAGTTATGGCCCTTTAATAATTTTTTATTTTTAAAGTTTGTCCGGCCTTCTTTTTCCTATACCACTAATGCAATTTCAATGAAACTTTACAGGATTGATCTGTAGCTCAAGTCCTTGCGCATATTGCACGGGTTTTCCGGTTGAATGATTTTTGGCCGAGTTATGGCCCTTTGATAAAAAGGTGTTTTTTTGTGTGTTGCCAGATACACAAAAGCTTGTCCCCACTTCTCCTCATAAACTACTGGTGAAATTTCATCCAAACTTTACAGGAATTATCATTACCAAGTCTATTTGTGCACTGTCCGTCTGTCTGTCAGTCTGTCACAAAACTTGTCCCAACATGGAATTGGCCATTATGAGGCGACACATGTGATCACTGATCGCTCTTGTTTGATACTCTGTCTTCCTTTAAATTATTGAATACTTTTGTTATGGTCATATGGGTATTCCTTTATATGTATGTACATAAACATCTCAGTGTTTTACTTATTTTACCTATTGAAACCATAACAACTGTTATAAATTTACTTGGCGGGGATTCATTTTATTTACACCGTCTCGTTTATAGGAACATGGTGGGCTAAGAGTGAGGTTTAGTGCACTATTAACCGGTTTAAACTCCCCAGCAGTGCCTATGCTGCTGATCGGTCCAAGGCGGTGCCCTTCTTTGTTCCTCAGATGCATGTCTTTGTTATTTCATACTGTTTTGGTGACACTTTTGTCGGCATCCCTTGTTGTTTTCTCGTCTATGGTAAGTATTTTCCCCTTTGCCCCCTAGTTTTATTTATTAAATATATCAATCATTGATTTGTTTTCTTTATATTTTCTTGTCGTTTACCATTATTTATGTTTTATGTATCATTTAAGTGATAAGCCTATCCGTGCTCTACCTTGCGCCCTGTCCGTTTTTCTGGGGGGTACTTTTGTGTTACATGTTACTTTGTTCTTGTTGCTTGGTTGTGTGGGGGTTGCGTTCATTGAACGTTGCCTTTCCTTGTTGATCTTGTTTATCATTTTTGATAAAACTTTTTCATACCACCCAAAGTGGGCCTGTGGGCCTCATAATGTTTTCTAAGGTGTCTTAGAAGTAGCAATGCTGCTGCCTTCTTTTTCTCGGTTGACTCATTATCAAAGCATGTTATTCTGCAGGAAATAAACTGAAAATAATTGTAAATTAATTGCAAATAATGGAAGCTTTTGATGTCTCTGAAGAGATGTGCAAGAGTGACAGATGAGGAAGATGGTCTAGCCGTTTATATGTCCACCATGATAAACATGCAACGCTTGAGCAACTAAAAATTGCTTTCAGTATTGCGGGGGCTTCACGTAGTTGTGTTCCCTTCTTAAGAAAATCGGGAATCTTCGTGTTTACCTCGTATTGTCATCTTGAGGCTAAAAATGCCAGATTGCACCGATGATCACACGAAGAAAAGACGAAGACTACACGATTTGTCAAAATGGCTTCACGACGGCCTTACGAATTCAACACGAAAATGAACCTTCGCAATGTCTTCGGGCAATTTTTTGGCATGCCAAAGATTTTGGAACCGCTCACGAAGTTGCTGCCGGAGCTTGTTATATTCAGTCGGGGATCATACGATGGCAAAAGATGCCCTCACGAATGGCACGATGTTATTACGATCAGATTCGAATTTGAACATTTCCTTATGCGTGTGTCCATCTGATGGCAAATTCGGGACAGTGTGACGCCTGCATAAAGAAGTACATCCTCATTATTTATAATAACAAAAGAAGTACATCCTCATTATTTATAATAACAAAAGAAGTACATCCTCATTATTTATAATAACAATAATTAGAGCAATGGTAATAATAATAATGATTAATATATCTATTTTTATTTATTTATATATTTTATTTTTGATAAGGGATACGTTATGTTCATTCAAATACGATACTAAAATGAAACTTTAACAGTGATGTTTTTTTTAAGTTTTTACATGAAAAGTCTATTATAAAAGTTCTTTTTTGATATTTGACTTGTTCTTGAATCTTGACTGTTAAACAAGAATTCTGTACAGTGCGATCAATCCTAGTAAAAGCTAAATGATCTTAATGCATGGATCAAAATATGTATGTATTCTATGTTTAATGGTGTTTTCGTCTTTCAAAAAGCAGTTTTTGCAGTCGCGTACAGTCTTCGGACATGTTACTAGTCATGCCTTTAAAGGTTAATTTTTTTTTGAGGCGTCATATTTTCCACCATGTAGTTTCAACGAAGTATTTGGCCAAAGATATAGATTTTGAGAAAAAAGTAAGTCAATGTACGACAGGCAATGAGAGATGAAAAGAGGTAATCCTGGAAAAGACTGATGGTGCCGAGCAGAGTCTTTCTTTCAAGTCGTCAATCTGTGCTAGGTACTCACGCACCCTGGAACACTTTCCTCATCGTAAGTCTGGTGCTGAATACCGTCTGAATCAAAATCCTTTTATTACTGTATTCTTAGAAATGTTCGCGGGTACAATATTTCGCGTTTTTCACAACGTCGGCATTTTCGCGGAGACAAACTTTCGCGAATATGTAGTAACCGCGAATTCCGCGAATGTTAAGTCGCTACGGCCTAAATTACAGTTTTTGGAGGCTACGTTTTTGATGCATGACCTTGCCTGTTAAGTGCTTTTAATTATTTCATTTTTTGACAAGTCGCGCCTAAAGCGCAACGTTACTCGATACATTTTCATCTATTGACTACTTTCATGTTTCCTTACCTTTTTCATTATGTGATTAAGTAAGATTTAGTCAGACTCGATAGCTTTTATTCTCATTTGAATCATAACTGACTTTTTCTTCAAAATGTCGATACGTATTTTTTACACATTATCGGACTGTACATCGCTTTCATTATAACAACATAACAGCTGTTTATCAATGTAGCACTTGATCGCTATTGTTCTTTTAACAAAGGATTGCACCTACTCCAAGCAAATAAAATCCAAGCCATTCAATGTTCACAAACTGCAAATGCGTTTGTCAACGCCGTGACTAACCGTCAATAAGCATGATAATTACTAATAATTGATATTTTCTTTTTCAGCGTGCAAACTAGTATCAATAACATACATAAATAATTATTTACACATTTCTATAGCATCTGTGTTTAGATGTTGTTTTTTTGTGTGTAAGTAGATTATAATAAATATTCTGCACTTTTTATGTTATATTTGGTTGAAGCTAGAAATGTTCGCGGATTTGTTATAAGTGACATATTCGCGGCTATAAAGATTCGCGGAATCATGCCTACCGCGAAAACCGCTAACTTAAAATGTGCGAAATCTTTTCTAGGAATACAGTATGTTGTTAAAATTCAATGTAACATATTTAACCAAAACGTAATGGCTTTACATCACCAACTGGTGTATAAAAATAAAAGAAGTGTTATGACCATATTCAAGCCCGGCAAACTGTCGCTCCACTTCAAAATTGTGGTGTACGGTAAAACGAGCGAACGGCATTTCCGAGATAGAGCGGAAGGCCGATTTAAACGGATAATTGTAAGTGTTGTTTATGTTTTTGTCCTGTTATTCATTTAAATTGTATTTTTTCGAAAAACGGAAAATGTAGTTCCGTGTAGGATTGATTGAGGCTTCCAATGATCTAAGCTGTTACAAAAACAAAATTATATTTAGCCCGGGAGAACATATTTATCAAATAATACTTTGGCGTAATGTCGTGTTATGTGACAGTATTATGTCTTATATATATCATCAAAAATAACAAAACATAAACCGTTAAAAAATCCACTTACTTTCAGATTTAACTCCCCAGGAACGCATTATGATTTCTGCATTGACTGACCGCTGAGAATTTGTCCCTTTACCAAAGAAATTTGACACGCATATCAACCCTCCATTTGTTGCATTTGTAGGTCTCCAGAAACGCATGTTTACAAAATTGTAGGCATACACAAGTCCCCCATAGCTACAAACGCTGTCGGTAACAGTCCTTCCGAAGGCCATTGCACCGCTTCCTTGGAACAGGAAACCAGCGTTTGGTCCCGTGTTACTTCGCGCCTGAAACGTTTAATTCGAGGTATGTTTATCGGATCGCAATGTCTGTTTATATCACAGTTAACGGGAAAGTCACTCAAAAAGTAACTATTGAGCCGTTATGTAGAATTAAAGGCAAAAAATACCCAGATGTACACATTGTTTAATAATAGACAAACATACATGTATCGCATGGTTGGATTTTTAAACGATTTTGACAAATATAACTAAAGTTGTGCTAAAGCGAAACATGCACAATTCCATTGGGTTTGATTATATTGGAAAACCAAAATAAAATAAAATAAAATAATTAAAATAAAATTATGATGGTGACAAAATTAGGGTATCCATCAAATTAGCAAAGTATTAATTAGTTAGATCACCCGTCTGCAAAAGTAATCACAGTTTAAGAATTTCAAAGAATTAAAAGTTTTGTCCCAGATTGTTTAAGAACTCTCTTTCAATTTTGCCAACAATAGCAATTTTCCAAAGTGAATAATATTTTGTTCAATTAATATGTAACAATATTTACCCAAGCACGTGTAAGTGGATTTTGAACAATGTTTCTGTAAGGAACCTCTAATGTCTCGCTAGGAATGTTTGGACCAAGTGAGGTTTGTGAATATTCTTGCTCATTCATTGTTAGAGATTTCCAGGCGTACATTTCTAAATATCCTTCATTGGACATGAAGTCAACAGAGTAGCCATCGATTCCCGCATATATGTACGCTTTCAAGCAAAATTAAACAAACAACAAACTAGTTAGGAGCATTTAACGAATTTGTATGTTGTGAGTGACAGTTTAAGTATTACACTTGAATGTGAGACCGTCCGTTAAGAATGAAATGATTTTTCATTTCTTTATTGTATGTTTTTCTGCTTAATTTTTCTAACATGCAAAACAATAAGCAGCTTCACTGGCAAATCCTTGCACAGAAGCGCCATTCTTACCTGTACACACATATTTCATGGCTAATGTCGTAGTATATTATATTTTTAATCTTTTGTATACACTGCGAGTCCACAGTCCAGATTCGTCCGTTCGCTTAGCTCAAGTCATAGATCATCGGATGAGTAAACAAGGGGCTGCTGGTTCGATCCCTCGGACATCAACTCTTATAGTCATTTGTCTCTCATCGTTGATTTAGAAATCATTCGGGATAAAAACTCGGTCACTTGCGAAGAAAATGGTAATTAGGTATCTAAGAAAATTAGGGGATATGAACAATGTGTTAGAGTCGGGGTAAAAACAGTAAGCAACAAAACTTGCACAAATTTTATCAAGTTACCCATTAAAATGTTATTGTGAAGTGCCTGTCAGAATTAGCAAGGTTTTTTACATTTATTTAAAATTATGTGTACTTATTGAAGTCTTGACAAAGTGAAAGTAGTTGTTCTGTGTTACGATTCTATACGCAATTGTATTATGATTAATATGTTTGCATAATAAAATGTAAGCTGATGAGAATAAAAAGAACGATAAATATCAATAAAATAATGAGTACAATGGTGTTCAAGATTTGATTCTGGATCGTAAATATACCCGACATGTATAAAAACATTGATAAAATATAAATTTTTCAACCCACATACTGTGAATCAAACCCAACAAATATAAAACATTGTTCAATATATTAACCAGTCTATCACTTAAAACATTCAATACAATAAGTCTTACCCCAATTCTGTGAGTCGATCCAAACCCTTATTCTATCTTTGCTTACGCCATGCACTATATGACAATTTTGGCTGTTTTTCCCATCTCTATACACTACAAAGTTTGCCCCTGTTGAAATTGTCATAAATACCAATAAAGTAGTACGTAACAGTTACAAATTATCAGTAAAATATGCATCAAATTCACTACAAACGTTTTATTTGCAATGACACTTTCAATAATTAAATGAAAATTGATCGGACATATTGTTCTCCTGTAGAAACTATAAAGAAATTTAAAAAAATCATGTTGGGTACTAGTACCATACAATTCTGCTTTTCAACACGATACTGCCCTAGACTATTATATTTGTAAAAGCATCGGAAACTCTAGGGAGACTTTTCCTTTCGGCGTTCTCTACACTTTTTAGGCTGTTAGATGTCCACTTGTATTGCTAAAAAAATTAACATTAGACACTTTCCTTACAAGTATTAAATATTGAAACTCATCATTATTTTACTAACAATTAACCATGACGACGAAAGGCAAATGCTCCCATACCAGATCAAGATAAGAAAGAAAGGATAACAGTCTAAGTATTTTGAACCATAACGATTTTGTACGAAAATGCTTCTAAACACATTTGAATTTGTTAGACATGCTCGACCGTGCGACCAGATACACGTATCGAGGACATGTTGGTAGTAAATAACCGTGTGACCACATACACGAATCACAGGATTCCTCTTCTCACAAAACGCTGTCCGCCCATTTATCAAAGGAAAGACTTAGAAATATGCTAGTTTCTTATTGTGATTGATAAGGAAGCTAATTTTTACACGGATATATCTTGAAATTGTATGAGGAGGGGGGGGGGGGGCATATTTTAATTAGTGGCAACAACTAAATTTAATCATGAGGTGCAGGTTTATGTATAATATTCCGTTGAACAGATAATAGATTTTTCTAATCGACAGTCTATTTTCGGACTAAAGTTGTTTTTGCATGTGCAATAAGCTGTTAGCAGGTCAGTTAATAGATAAATGTGGTTTTGTATGATGGTTGTAAACATGGCTGAGTTCCATTGTGATTTGAAAGGGAAGTAAAGAGCTGATTGCAAAACTTTAGGTTATTTGGTAAATGCGCGTCAGAAATAAAAAAAACGGATCTACATTTAGTTTATGGAGAAAATTCCCCATATGTGTTTTCAATCTTGAAAGAAAAGTTAAAGTTTAGGTGGTGTGCGTCCGTTAGACCCCGTATTTGCTAACTTCTGACTAGAAAAGGGGGCGAGTTTAAAGCCTCGGCCTTATTGACTAGGTTCAAATATCGAGACACTAGACACTTGAGATAAGATAAATTGCAACCGGAATGAAACGTGGCTTATTTTTTGAGCCCGTCAATTAACTAATAAACAAAATTTAGGTAAGTGAAAACAGCCAACGCAAAGTTGTTGCTCGACGTAGCAGGAGCGTTTAAAGAGTTATGCACGTTCTATTTTCTGACTTTGATGGAATAGTGACCCGTGTTGCTGTGCCTGAGAGAGCCAGTGTCACTGGTACATTTTTTTCAGAGACCATGTTCTCAATGCAGCATTTAATAGAGAACAAAAGGTCATGGGTGCCTAGAATTTCAATTACTCCAAGATAATGCACCTGCGCACTGGTCGGCCTTGGTTCAGGCTTTTTAAGGAGCACAAAAGTTAGATTTTGCTACATCACGCTTATAGTCCTGACCTCTCTCCTTATTATTTATATTTACATTCATACATACAAATCTTGCCTTCGCGGTCGCGGGTTCGAAACCCGTAGTTCCGTCGGAAACGCCCTCTACCAGTGTATAAACAATATACCCAAAGAACAATAATGTTTTACATGTTTTAGATGTGTATGATATATATTTCACACTTTGTTTGCTAAAATCAACCTGATGACATTTTTACAAAAATACACATCTAATTTCTTTACTGACTTTGTATACTAGACATACCTAAATGTAAAAGAAAAGGTAATATCGTTACCTGCAAGAATAAACTTAAGCACCCGCTGATATCCTGACTGAAGCATAGGAAAATGGCCCTTAAATGTGGCAGAGACGACTGGGAAGGGTACTAGGGTGCGTGAGCATAATAGCCCTGCATTAGCATGCCGCCATATGTCGACATTCTCGCGCTCTGACGCACATTTATGTCACACACCACTTTTTCATGACGTTGAAATATTTCTGTTTTGTGATCCTCAGACTTTAAGACTAAACTAAGAAGTAGGAATTTCTATGGAAAAGTGGTTTCTTATGATATATATGAGGGCTGTTCAAATATGAATGCAACTAGGCCAATATCTCGCTTTTAACCACGTTTTTAAAGAATTATGTGCATGTATCGTATAGATGGTTGTGTAAGCATTCAATTGATACAATGCATGTGCAAATGTTCTGTATAGCTTTAACAATAGCTCGATTAACGCTTCCTACTCGTACTCGTGTATACTTGTATACTAAAGCTAAAATGGTTGGGAAAAGGTCTCCTTTCATTGACCAAATACGCTCATTACGGACAAACATATTCTTGGTATACAGGCGAAAGACATATTAAATATGTCGTGTTTATGGGAACAATAAACTTTCTTTTTTCATCTGTCACACGGTGGTGTAAGAAATTTTGTAAAAACAAATGGTGTGGATTCAGTAAAAGATGCATCTTATGCACGCTGTCAGAAAACGGCAACGTCGCCAAACATGGTTGAAAAACTAAAGGATTTGATTGCTACTGATGCAAAATTGACAACTTGGTATATAGCTAAATGCGTTGGTATCTCTGTAGGACCCGCTCATACAATTCTAAGACGTGATTAAAAATGAGAAGGATAAATGCCAGATGGATACCCCATCTCCTTACAAAAGAGCACAATCTTGCTCGGGTAAGAATCTCCAAACAATTGTTGAATATAACAATAGATCTTTTGCAAGTATCATCACTGGCGATGATTTGTATGAGCCCAAGCGAAAGATAAATAACAAAATATTGGCATCAAAAGGAAGTCAAAGACCTTGCATACCAAAACGCATCATGAACGTCAAAAAGGTCATGTATGTAATTTTCTTAAACAAGCAAGGTCCTGTTATTCAAATTGCTGTACCAAAGGAAAAATCTGTAAATGCCACGTATTACAAAGGCAAGGTCCTTTATAAATTAAAGAAATATTTCTAAAACCGTCGGCCAGCAACTGGTTTCCATGATGTCAGGTTGTTGCATGACAATGCCCCGTCTCACAAAGCGAAATTATACGAGAATATCTGAAACAGTAAGATATTGTCGAGCTTTATCACCCTCCTTTTTCGCCATATCTTGCCCTTTGTGACTTATTCTTATTTCAAAAGTCACCTTGCTGGAATAAAATATCTGACGCGAAAAAAATTCGGTTTGGCTTTTTTCCAGAGTTTGAACAGTAAACCTCGAAAAGATTATGAAAACGCACTTAAAGATTGGATTAAAAGACTAAAACTTTGTACATGTATATCAGATGGTGATGAGTATTTTGAAGGATTGAGATAATTATTTCGAAGCACTGTTTGTCAAGCACCTCTGAAAATTGACCCAATTGCATTCATATTTAAACATCCCTCGTAAATGCAAATATTCAATTTGAATCTTACCAACAGCGTCCGACATTGTAGTCAACTTCCCTTTTCTGTCAGTAAGATTCATTCTTACAACTGTGAACGCTGGATACTCGTTAAGCCCATGCTGCACATCAACATATACATCTGACACTGAAAAGAAATACACGTTTTATATAGAATATATAATTAAGCTGCATATTTGGATTAAACATCTCACCAATAAATGAGACATCTTTGATACCGGCATTCGTATAACATGAGCGCATATGTACACGCATACGTTTTCATTTTATGCTCCTTTCTGTATTTGATAAAAGCATCATGATTTGTGAGTGACTGACAAGACCAAAAATAGTCGTCAATTTGCAGAGAAATGATAGATGTTTCGCAGGAAAAAAATCAGCACGGAAATTCTACTGTATTAAATGCTTTTTAAAGCTTCCAAACATTATTTTAGGCATTCAGCTTGATAAGAAAAGGCACTTACCGTTTGAAGTTTGCCCTGCTTTCATGCGAATTCCCGTCCTTTCAAAGTCGGCAGGTGGCAATGACGACTTTTTCCAAGCTCTGATTCGTACCTCTACGTTGTATCTTTTTTGGTTGTTCACACCGGTGTAAAAATCTCCATTCTCTGGGGGAATATTGTGATAAAATACATATGGTGATAAAATACATATGGTGATAAAATACATAAAAGTCCGAATACTTGTAGTATTCGATCATGACCACTTTAAAAAAATCTAATGCGTTCTTTTCTTCTGTATGGAAACTAACTGTATCTTGTAACGGATTTTTTTTCGTAATAAAGTTTACTCTTCTGCGTATACAGGTGATGAAAGGAAACATTTCTTTCCCTTTTTGACTTAAACTTTACAGAAAATAAATTTCTAATTACCCCCCTTTATTAGCATGAAACGTAAATTCGGTATTATCTTTACAAATAATGCTTTTTGGAACTTCAACTATTGATAAATCTTCATTTGAGCATCATATTTATAATATAAAATCATTAAAAATTGTTTTACAGGATCTTTAAATAAATGATGTTTTCAATATTTCTAACGTTGAATGTCCTTTAATGTACCGAACAGACTCTAAAGAAATAATAATTTTTATAAAAGTACATTGAAGAATATCAAAAATTTAAAGCAGATTATTTAACACAACTCGACCTTGAAAAACAGCAAAATCTGATTTAGACATTAAATCTAAAATCTATAAATGAGCCGCGTCATGACAAAACCAACATAATGGGTTTGCGACCAGCACCGATCCAGACTTGCGTGGTTTTTAGTTTGGCAAAGGTTACCTGTATAAATAGCATACGAATTATATCCGTCATTCGAATACTGAGGAGCACTCACTGTTACTTGAGTGTTGTCATAAATATATGTTACACCACCGAACGGTTCAGCTGCGTCATCGTCTCGAGGTATACCCCCTGAAATAATAAATTTTAAATTGTCGATAGATAAATATACTTGATTTATTTCACAACTTATGAAATATAACAATATAAACTTTCAGCGATTGAATCACGTTCCAGTAGAGATCATTTTTGGGTTAATAAAAAATTATATTATAATCCTCGTTTTCGTTATCTTAATGCATATTGTACCCCATGTAGTCGCGTTTTCTTTTTCAGGGTCGAAAACATCTATACCAAGTGCATATATTACTCCATCTAGTCTCATTTTCATGTCCAGAGTCCAAAAACATCAATAATAAATCTTTATTGTCCTTGAAATAAAAATGTTTTGTCAAAAAGTCAAAAATAGGGGGTTAAAATACATCGTTGAGAATGATACTGATTCAATTAGACTTATATGAGCGTCCTTGTCCAATGTAGGTTGAACAGCTGTGTAGTCGTGCAATATAATTAACTATTGAACTCATCAATGTGAAATGACCTCGTTATAATTTATAACGCCTATTTAAGTTTAACGAGTTCGTGCAAAACTTCAATCCATACTTTCCTTGTAATTATTAATTCAGCTTCTTACAAATTTTAATCAGGCAATGAAAATCACGAGATACCAAATTCAAAAGAACTATTTCTGAATGAAACATAGTTAAATCAATGTTATAAAATGAAAATACCTATCGCCTGAAATATGTAATCTTTGTTCGGGTAATCTAATGATTTCACTTGAACATCCACAAATAAGGGAACTTCGTTTAGACCGTGCAACACCGTCTTCGTTGCTTTACTCGTCTCAGCTTGAGCTTGAAGGTGCAGCCATGGACTTTCAAAGTCCGGTTTAGGAAATTGATACGCTTTGATCATACCTGCAGAACAATAGATAAAATAAAGATGTAGACCTAGGCAAAAGATTTTTTTCCCTTCGGGATCATTGATACCAGTGTTGAGGGATAAATACATGTTCTCTTAAATCCGGTGCTATGAGACATGAATATGTTTTTTTTTATCTGTTTTCATAAATAGAACATATGAAACAGAATCTGCAATTTTCATTTATATTGTTTTGTTTCGCTTCCCTGAGAACATTTCATTGCTTTCGAGAGATCGCCCCTTTCCAAAATTTCCACACGCTCATGTTATATAATTGCCATGTCATGCTTTCACTTTACAGTTATCAAGTGTTTAAGAATGATTGAATTATAATATATTATTGATTAAGACTGCATATATGAGCACGGATTGTCTAGTTGTACACTGTAAAGGTTGAACAAACATATAATGATCATCGGAAATAAAAAATATTCGGAACTAAGCAACTATCTGCCTTGAAAGTAATGACAGAGAACAGTCCTAATGAAAGTAAAGAATGAGGAGAAAAAATATGGTGAAATAGAAATGTAGAAAAGAAAACAATGATAAACGATTAGAAAATGAGAAGAAATAGAAAAAGTATGAAATAATAATAAAGAATAAAAAGTAGAAAAAATGATAGAAAGATGAAAGGTTAAAGAAGAATAAAAAGGTTTTAAGAACCAAGACAACATAATGAACTTAAAGAGGTTCAGAAAGGAAACAAATGAAATAATGATTGAGATTTATTTAAGTGGAAAAACGGATGAAAGAATAGACGAAAAATATCATAGATAGAGGACAAAGTAAAATAAAATACATAAAAGGTTTTAGTAAGGAGGCACGTAAAATAAATGAAAAGGGGTTATAGATTGGAAACCACGCAAGAGAAAAAGGTAAAGTTGTCTGTAATGAATGCCGATAATAGAATTAAAAAAAATATCATTAAAAGAGACAAAAGGTAAAACAGATCTTTTGCTTGTTTGTTTTTTTGTTTTGTTTTTTTCATTTCACGCCTTTTCCCAACAGTATTTCAGTCATATAGGCGGGTAGTTTCCTGACCATCGTTCCTGGAGAGTTACACCAGTACTAGACTACCTTCCTCTGCGCTAAACTACCAAAGCATCTCCCGGGGATCGAACCTAAAACAGATCTAAAATAAATTAAGAATATAGAAGGTGGAAAGAAAGAATGAAAAAAAGCTAGAGGAAGAGAAAGAAACAGATGTTAGTAAAAAGAAAAAATAAATTAATAACGAAACCAAACCTGGTATAATAAATGCATGGGGAAAATATAAGACATAAAAGAATATATGTATAGAAAAAAATATTGCTAAGAATAAGAAAAAAGAACCCGACCAAAATTCAATACCTTAAAGAACAATTTTATCAAAAGATGACTTTAATAAACAAAAAGATTGAATATCACCATTGGCGAAAATCCACGTTAGGAAAATTATCCATTCTGCAAACATACTCAGTCCTTTAATATGAACACCTCTTTCAACAGTTATAACAAAATCCGTAGTAAAGGAATTACTACATTAAAGGAGCGAGGGCTAAAAAAGTATGACGAAACACGTGTTTACAATAAGATTAAGGTTTCCAAACATTGGACATTTTCATTTCCGTAAAATTATGCGTACCGAAAGACGATATACCGGTAACTAGCGGATTTTTTTGTCGCTATAGATCAAGATGGTGGAAACGTTAGTGTTGACGATACAGTCAAACCTTTTGTAAAACACACGATACACCAATACACGTCCAATACATAACAAAAAGATGTACTAAACAAAAGCAATTCTAATGTAAATACCATCACACAGACCATTACCCAAGCGTGCATGTTATGGAGACGACGCAAGATAGTAAAGGTCAAGTACTACTCTAGGGCTAGCCTTACACACCTTGAATTAAGCTGTCGTTTCCTTGCACAATTGTACCAAGAAAGATTACCATGACAAAGATCGATGAAGCAGATAGGAACGGACCGGCGAAGACACCGAAGAAATCGATCATAAGGTTTATTCCAGAACTGAAACACGCGCGCGCGCACACACACGCGCACGCGAGAAAGATTTACATTCCAAATGTCTGAAGAGTCGTTAATATTGCTTAATGATGACCCATCGAGATATAATTGTTCCAGGGTTAGTGACTGTCCTGATACCGTATGTACTGTTCTGTTCTGTAAAAAATTTTTTTTGAAAAACTAATCTAGTAACATTTAATATTCGAGCTTAAGATTGATCCAAGTGTAAACTTGTTAACAAATATTGATATCTGAATTATCTACTGACAGATGTGAAAGGTATTAATTTGTGGATATTTTCTGTTACATTGAATTAAGTAAATAGTGGTAAATTTGAAAGTCTCTTGACAAAACCCCCACAAAGTCTATCAAAATTGGATAAAATCTTTCGCCAACATCCGGACCGGACATTAAATCTCTGCTTGCTGGAGTCAGCAGGAATATTGAAATGCAATTCATTGTTGACGTATGGAGAGTCGGATGATCCATGTTTGAATTCGATTGGTAATAAGATCTGTACCTCATGCACGCATTGCAGTTTCAAATGGGCATATGAAAGATTATTCAAGTGCAATTGAAAAATAAAAAGAATCAAATGAAAGTTTGACGATCATAGTCTGTATCATCAAAACGTTTGGCAAATCTGAAACGTCTGGATGATAGAAAAAGGGCCCAACTACTCTCCGGTCTCCGGTCTTCAAAAACCCCGGTCTGCAAAGATCGTCGGAGACCGTCGATTGGAAACCGTCGATTACACAAATCGATGGTCTCTTGGTTAAAAAAAATATGAACTGAAAAGACTAAATAACAAAGATTTCAGGACGATAGTTTATGAGTGCCATAACCTTGAATGATGATTAAAGGGATTTAGATGAGGAAAAAAAGATTAATAATGAAAAACAATATTTAGATGCTACGAGATATTTAGGTACTTCAGATTTCATGCATATCACGTAATTAAGGTAGGCCTATATTGTAAAATTTATATAAACTAAATCAATTAATTTTCTTAGTAAATGCATTTGTAAATTTATGAACAATTATAAACATTCGCGAGACCATCGAAGACTTAAACAAAGAAATTAAGTATATAAAAACTTAAACAATAACAGCAGATGTTCGGTAATCTTCTAAATAATCGAGAGTCTTCATAAAAAATTAATAACTTATTATTAAAATTGCATTGTTTATCAGTCTATTTTTCCACATCTCCAATAATATTGACATTAATATACTATCGTCCAAGAGAATTTACTTCTTGGCCAGCTGAATAAATCAATTACTTATTTTTCATGTATCCTTTTCCAGATCATATCAATTAAATTCATGTACAAGAACAAGACCGTCGATTTGTAGAGTAACCTTACTTTGGAGACCGACAAAGACCGGCGATTGTGCGGATACCGCCAATTAGTAGGTCCTACATTTTTTAATTGTTCATTGATTACATTGATTATTGCAGGGAAATATGAGACATATACAAATGATACAAATGCTTTTTCGGGCGAAGGCCGTCTGATTTCACCTTGACTTCCGCTAAAATTTACAGTAAAGAAATGAATATAGGCAGAATTTTCATTGGTCATTTTAATAGCCTGTTCGTATGATAATTTAGAAGAGCTTCCGTTATAGGTAGAGCTCTGTTTGATTGCGCGATGGCAAGAAGTGTTGGAAAAAGATATAAGTCAGAATAAATATAAAAACACAATAATGATATTTTCTAGATGTTTCTATTTTTCTAGATGTTTCTAACAGCTTTTCAATAAATATATGAAATCAAATATGACAGATCGCCTTTTTGATGCTTTTGCGTTCGCTTAGGTTTCTCTTCTAAGCTGTTCTAGTCATTATATTCTCTTCTCGAACCGGGCATAAGACGATTGAAACGAACTTTCGACTAATTTACAGTTGAAAATTCTCCATGGAATTAGTGTACAGTATCTACTAAATCTTTGTTTTATTATAAATTCCTATTCAAATCAAATTCCATTTTGATTAAAATTAAATAATGTAAGTAATATTGTTTAAATTAATGGGGAAAAACATTGCGGGTAAAAATGAAATGAAATAAACCTATTGAGGACGAATAAAATGTTCTGTTTGCGGTTAGCATGGTTAGTAGTAGCTTATCCTATGAAAGTTAACAAGTTTGACTTCGGCTGAGTATCTTTTTAAAGATACGTCTTGTTTAAAACAATTTCGAAAACGGTTAGATGAAATATTATTTAAAATAATAAAACTTTCCTCGCAGGAAACGTTTATAATTTGTTAATTATTTGAGACAGTTATGTAGACTTAGTGAGACCTTTACATTTACATTACAGTTAACTGTCAGCCGTAGCTTACTAATGCTTTCAGTAAAAGCGACATTATGCCCATTCAAGTGTAAATGGTCAGTAAATGTGTTCAATTTTATATTTTACTATGAAAATATAATAAAAAAAATCCACGTGACCAACGAAAGAGTCTATACATACATGTGTATCATTCAGAATATATCGGTAACTTTCAATTCTTAAAGGAGATTGGGGCAGTCTTTTTAATATATATATATATATATATATACGTCTTTGAATATTGTATAATGAATGTTTTTATTATCAATTATTGGTCAATCACCATTTTTAAAGTAAATCTTTTAAAATATATTACCAATTCAACTCAACATGGCAGCCAAAAAGAAGGAACATAATATTACTAAATAATAAATAAATAACACGCGCGTCAAAAAATATGTGGCTTGATCGGATACAGACTATACGTGCATATTAAAAAACACAATTCAGATAGACTACTTAAATATGTTGTATATACCCGTAAAAAATCATGGGTGCCGCCATTTAAAAAAAACCTCAGATACAAAAATCACAAAATAGTTTGTTTATTTTTCTTAACAGCAAGAGACGCCTTTCTTCTACAAAAGCAGATAAAATGCATAAAATGCAAAGCAGATATTTGTTTGTTTTGTTTTGTTTTTTGGTGCTGTTTTTTTCTTACTTGTTTACTTGTCTCTCTAATATGTGAGTGGTCCTGTCATTGACTTTCCTGTACTAATTTAAAGGCTTTCAGCAATGTTTTTTCCCCGATTCGGGAGCATCTGGACTACTTTATTTGTGACTGACTTGACAATATTAGATCAATTCAAGCCCATAAAAACTAACAATGAACTTTACATTATTCTGGAAAAAAAGAGAATTTTCGATAAAATGTTCCTAAGAAACGTTTTTTTTTGTTTTGTTTTTTTTTGTTGTTGAGTTTTTGGGGTTTTTTTTTTGCGATTTCAAAAGGCGCGAAACAGACACCGTTTTTTTTTATTGACAAGCCAATCGGTATAAAGATACAGCAGCCTGCAAGTATAATCCGATTGGCCCTGTTTTAACCACCAGATGTGGCAGAAAATAATTCAATAATTTCTAATGATAACTTTGACTAATCAAAATGCAGATCCGGTATTGAAAAACGTGAAATATGCCACGATGTCAGTGTAATGCATAAAACTGGCAACATTTCTTATTTCTTATCACGTAAAAAGGTAGCATGTAAGAATATCACGTGGGATTTTTATTTCCTAATCTGCGATTGAAATGATTTCTTATATTCAAATACATTTTTAAGACATTTTTTTCTCAGATATCCCAGATTGCTTTCATTAGTGTTAAAGTTAAATGAATGCGTGTCGTGAGAAAATTCGAGATTTCGCGAGACCTGTATATTGTTTTATCTAATAAAACGTTGATGGTCTATTTGATATGTCTGAGAATTAATTAAGTGTATGTAACTTGTGCAATACTAGCTCACTTGGAGATGAATATTATTTCTTATTTAATTGTCAAATTATTACTGATAGAAGATAATACATTACTATAGATAATATAGTACTAATGTCAATTCAATCAAGTTTTTCTATGTTAATGATCAGCACACATATATTGTTAAAGCTTGCAGTATTCTGTAAAAAAAGATTATATCAACATTTAAGTAGCTGATAGCTACATGTAAGCTTATTTTCATAATGTAACACTTTCGTTTTGATTTTTACATGCATATGCCATCTTGCAGATTAATACATTTTTTTTGGAAATCTTTTTGAGATATTTTACATTCTATGTATATTATTGTTAATGTGACAGATGCCTTCAATAAACTGTTCAAAACATATTTAACCTTTTAGTGACAACAACATTAACAACAATTCGGATTTCTTAATAGAAAAAAAAACTATCTATAAAATAGACAAAGGCGTGTACCTTTTGATGTTTCCGCGTATTTTCTATTTTCTATGTTATTTTCGAGCAGCATAAGACCTATTTTCGAAGTTAAATCATTTATTAAATATTTATTAAGCTTAAAAGGTAGCTTCAAAATATTACAGTTTTTTATGAAATCATCGTGTCAATGGAGGCTTAAAAATTTGTATCCTTATTAGCCATACGTGTAATCTAGCTGGTCCTCCAGAAATATAATATCATGCTTCCAAACATTGATTTATTAAAATGTAAAATAA